GGTGCATCAAGGACATAATTCTTATGTGCAGCAATGAGGATATTTCCTCAGATCATGAACCCAGTTCGCATCATTGCTACTATCATCTTTCAACTTAGTTTTCTCTAGGAACATATCAAAAAACATAGGGGAGCTACAACGCGAGCTATTGATCTACAACATAATTTGTAAATACTATCAGGACTAAGTTCATGATAAATTAAAGTTCAATTAATCAAATTACTTAAGAACTCCCACTTAGATTGACATCCCTCAAGTCATCTAAATGATACGTGATACAAATCACTAAACCATGTCCGATCATCACATGAGATGGAGTAGTCATCAATGGTGAACATCTCTATGTTGATCATATCTATTATATGATTAATGTTCGACCTTTTGGTCTCCAGTGTTCTGAGGCCATGTCTATACATGCTAGGCTCGTCAAGTTTAACCCGAATATTCCACATGTGCAAAACTATCTTGCACACGTTGTATGTGAACGTAGAGCCTATCACACCGATCATCATGTGGTGTCTCAGCACAAAGAATGGTCGCAACGGTGCATACTCAGGGAGATCACTTATACCTTGAAATTTTAATTAAGGGATCATCTTATAATGCCACCGCCGTACTAAGCAAAATAAGATGCATAAAAGATAAACATCACATGCAATCAAAATATGTGACATGATATGGCCATCATCATCTTGTGCTTTTGATCTCCATCTCCAAAGCATCATCATGATCTCCATCATCACCGCCTTGACACCTTGAACTCCATCGTGGTGTCGTGGTCGTCTCGCCAACTATTGCTTCTACAACTATCGCTACCGCTTAGTGATAAAGTAAAGCAATACAATAGCGTTTGCATTTCATACAATAAAGCGACAACCATAAGGCTCCTGCCAGTTGCGGTTAACTTTTACAAAACATGATCATCTCATACAATAACATATATCACATCATGTCTTGACCATATCACATCACAACATGCCCTGCAAAAACAAGTTAGACGTTCTCTACTTTGTTGTTGCAAGTTTTACGTGGCTGCTACGGGCTTCTAGCAAGAACCATTCTTACCTGTGGCACAAAACCACAAACGGTGATTTATCAAGTTTGTTGTTTTAACCTTCAACAAGGACAGACCACAGTCATATTAGATTCAACAAAAGTAGGAGAAACAGACACTCGCCAGTCACCTTTATGCAAAACTAGTTGCATGTTTGTCGGTGGCATCGGTCTCATGAACCTAGTCATGTAAGGTTGGTCCAGGCCGCTTCATCCAACAATAGCGCCGAATGAAAATAAGACATTGGTGGTAAGCAGTATGACAATCACCGCCACAACTCTTTGTGTTCTACTAGTGCATATCATCTACGCATAGACCTGGCTCTAATACCACAGTTGGGGAACGTAGCATGCAATTTCCAAAAAAATCCTACACTCACGCAAGATCTATCTAGGAGATGTATAGCAACGAGAGGGGAAGAGTGTGTCTACGTACCCTCATAGACCGAAAGCGGAAGCGTTTGACAACTCAGTTGATGTAGTCGAACTTCTTCTAGCTCCGACCGATCAAGTACCGAACGTATGGCACCTCCGAGTTCTGCACAAGTTCAGCGCAATGACGTTCCTCGCCCTCTTGATCCAGCAAGGTGTCGAGGAAGTAGATGAGTTCCGCCAGCACGACGGCGTGGTGACGGTGATGGCGAAGTGATCCATGCAGGGCTTTGCCTAAGCACTACGAGGATATGACCGGAGGCATAAACTGTGGAGGGGGCGCCGCACACGGCTAACGATTGTTGTTGTGTGTTCTAGGCGCCCCCTCCCCATGTATATCTAGGTGAGAGGGGGAGGGGAGCAGCCTTGGGGCACCCCAAGTAGGATAAATCCTACTTGGGATCCTGCCCTAGGTCGGCGCCCCCATTTCCTTCTTTTGGCGATGAGGGGAACGAAGGAGGAGCCGAGGAGGTGGCGCCCTCCCCCCTTTCCTTTCTCCCACCAAGGGGAAAAGGCAGGATGAGGTGGCGCTCCCTCCTTTCCTTCCTCTAGGGCCTGCGGCCAGGGATAGGGGTGCACCAACCCACAAGGATGGTATGTCCCTCCCTCGGCCCGTTAAGCCATATCTTTGCCGGGGTTGCCCGAAACTCCTTTCCGGTGACCCGATATGTACTTGGTACCCCCAGAACACTTCCAATGTCCGAATACCATCGTCCTATATATGAATCTTTACCTCTCGACCATTTCGAGACTCCTCGTCATGTCCATGATCTCATCCGGTCACCAAATCACATAACTCATATAATACAATATCGTCATCGAACGTTAAGCGTGTGGACCCTACGGGGTCGAGAACTATGTAGACATGACTGAGACACCACTCTGGTCAATAACCAATAGCAGAACCTGGATGCTCATATTGGCTCCCACATATTCTACGAAGATTTTTATCGGTCGAACCGTTATGACAACATACGTTATTCCCTTTGCCATCGGTATATTACATGTTCGAGATTCGATCGTCGGTATCTTCATACCTAGTTCAATCTCGTTACCGGCAAGTCTCTTTACTTGTTCCGTAATGCATCATCCTGCAACTAACTCATTAGTCACTTTGCTTGCAAGGCTTCTTATGATGTGCATTACCGAGAGGGGTCGGAGATACCTCTCCGATACTCATAGTAACAAATTCTAATCTCGATCTATGTCAACCCAACAAACACCTTCGGAGATACCTGTAGAGCATCTTTATAATCACCCAGTTACGTTGTGATGTTTGATACCACACAAGGTATTCCTCCGGTATCCGGGAGTTGCATATTCTCATAGTCGGAGGAATATGTATTTGACATGAAGAAAGCAATAGCAATAAAACTGACGATCATATTGCTATGCTAACGAATGGGTCATATCCATCACATCATTCTCCTAATAATATGATCTCGTTCATCAAATGACAACACATGTCTATGGTTAGGAAACTTAACCATCTTTGATTAGCGAGCTAATCTAGTCGAGGCTTACTAGGGACACGGTGTTTTGTCTATGTATCCACACGTGTATCAAGTTTCCGGTTGATACAATTCTAGCATGAATAATAAATATTTATCATGAAATAAGAAAATATAAAATGACAACTTTATTATTGCCTCTAGGACATATTTCCTTCAGAAGCACCATCACCATGGACGACTTCATCCCCTCCAGCACCAGCATCAGCCATGGATGGAGAGGACGATGACACCTAGCAGCAACAGCCATGGATGAATTTTTTTTAATTCCTAATTAGTTAGTAGTAGCATGGGGTCCAGACCCATGCTACAGATAACTAGTAGTCGTGCGGGTGGCATCTACTAACGGATGTAGTAGTAGCGCCGGTGGCAACGGCGCTACTATTACCAGTTAGCTGTAGCGCCCTAATAGTAGCGCGAGCACCCGCGCTACTACTAATTGTTTACCTCGCACTACTACTAGGCTTTTTTCCTAGTAGTGTTCATTCCCAAGGTGGACGGTGACTGTGGTAGCAATTTGTGGCGACGAAGGCAGAAGGAGGAGGCGTCGTGCACGGGAGAGAAGAAGGAATATTTTGCTGAGAGTAGAAGGAATATTTTTTGAGTGAACTTATGGGGCCTCTTAAAACTGAGAGAGTTGGGATCTTGTTTCAGTTAACTCCTCATGTTCTTTTTTAAGTTAGCCGGATAGGAGTTGTGCGGTGAACGCCTTAAAAGAGAATGTTTTGAGGAGTTAACCATTTTTGAGGGATCAGTCAGAGTTTCCCTAACATTTGCGAAAATTTTAGGAGCAAAAGTAAAAGAAAACATATTTGCAGCATGTTGTTTTTTCAGGATGATTCATTAACAGTTAACATACCCCTAAAAAACATTGAAAGTTTGAACTCCAATATAAAACGATGGGTATTATTTCATCGGTTGTCTTAACTTTGCTTAAATCAGTCACATTTCTTAGGTTTTGAATCAGGCTTTAACCAAACTTATCTCTAAGTCGAACTATATATAACCTATAAACCACATGTTGTATCAATTTTTCTCTAAAGTTGCACACCCTAAAATAGTGCAATTTTAGGCGCTAATGTTAAGTTTTTTTAACCTGCAAATAAATGTTAATTTTTTTTAAAAAAAAAAAGAAGCAGGCTGCGGAAAGTTTTTTTTTTTTGAACATGCGAAAAGTTTTTTTTTGCGGAAAAACTTTCAATCTATTCATCTTCAATCATGGCAGTACAACGAATATCAGAAATAGAAATTACATCCAGATCCGTAGATCACCTAGCAAAACGGCTAACCATGATGATCGTTTGGAGAATCCTAGACAAGAACCTACTGATGATGCTCTACACAAGATCCTAAAGTTGAGAAGCAGTATTTTATATTACTATCAATTGAACGATCGATCCTGCCTCCAACATTTGAATTCACAGTGGGAGCAACAACAAACAGAACAGCTGATGCAAACTCTACCAACGATCTCTACTACTCCCTCCGTTCCTAAATATTTGTCTCTCTATACATTTCAAATGGTTACAACATACAGATATATTTAGACATATTTTAGAATGTACATTCGTTTATTTTACTTTGTATGTAGTCATTTGTTGTAATATCTAGAAAGACAAATACTATTTGATAACGGAGGGAGTAACTAACAACATTTTTAGCAGCATCCGAATCACTGATCCCATTGGCTGGGTGGTCGCCTCCATGGTTTATCACTTCGGTCACTTCTCTTGATCCAGGTGCATCACCCTCTATCTTACACGGACCCACCCGACATTGCCGCGTCCCCATTCGCCTCTTCTCACATGTATCCCCAAGACCCCAACCAGATGAGAAATCGAGCACAACATGCACGTACGTGAAGCTACACACACAAGCCGCCTACGTGGTTATTATGTACTCCATCCGTTTCAAAATAAGTGTCTCAAGTTTGTATTAATTTTAGTATAAATTTATACTAAACTTAAGACATTTTGAGACGGAGGGAGTATACACTACACGGCTTCAAGCCACCGCGTTCCACTCGACGGGCGGCCACGGCCACGGCTCCCACAGCTCGGGCGTGGCGCAGAAGGACTCCGGGAAGACCGCCCCGTCGTAGTGGAGGTGGTCGTCGCACTCCGACTCCACCGACACCGAGACGTCCGCCGGCGTGGCGCACGTCGTCCCGCCGAGCACGCAGCTCTCGGGGGGCTCGACGTCGACGCACCCGGCGACGATGTTCCTCTTGTCGTCGTCCAGCTCCTGCCCGCCTCCGTTGCAGCTGCTGCTGCTGGCGGTGGCGGTCGCCGCGCCACCGCTGCCGCCGTCCCTCTGCCTCAGCCTCTCGCTCAGCTCGTGCAACTGCACACACGTACGTACGTACACTCCAGTTAGCAGCTGGATCAAGTAAGTATAGGGAAGAAGAGATTAAGAATACGTGCGCAGCGATTAGCTACCTGTGCGGCGAGGGCGAGCTTCTCCTGCTTGAGGGACTCGACGCGGGAGTGGAGGGCGTCGTAGTCGGCGCGGAGGGCGGCGAAGTCGTGCTCGAGCTGCTTGGAGCGCCACCGCGCGCGCTTGTTCTGGAACCAGATGGCCACCTGGCGCGGCTGCAGGCCCAGCTCGCGCGCCAGCTCCGCCTTCTCCCGGGGCTCCAGCTTGGCGTGGTGCGCGTGGAACATGGACTCCAGTGACCGTATCTGCTCCTCCGTGAACCGCCGCTTCCTCTCCGCCCCCCTCCCCACGCCGCCCCTCCCCATGAAGCACAGCTGCTCGTCCATGTCCATGTCCATGTCCATGTCAATGCCCATCATCGGCGCGCACAGCTGCTGCTGCTGCGCCGGCAGCGACGCGGGCGGGGGCATCAGGAACTGGTGCTGCTGCTGGTGTTGCTGGTGGTAATCCATGTCGACGGACCCAGTGGGCCACTGCTCTGCTCCGACCGGTCGCTCCTCTGCTCTGTTGGATCTGGATGGATCCCCTCCCTACGCTATGCCGTCCGTTCCTCTTCCTCTGTCTCTCGGCGCCGGGAGGCCGGTTTTATACCGGCGGACGGCGTTACGTGTCCGCGTTGCGCGAGATGCGAACATGTGGTCTTCGCGATGGCGGATAAAGAAACCTCCCGGGCGGGACCCACGCAGCCTGACACCGCGCAAAGCCGCTTTCGTCCGCCAGGCCAAGTGTCGCGCATCCAGCGGCGCCAGAAGCTGTGCCCACCACGGCGCCCCCATGTCTATCCTCCAGCCTCGAGATCGGCACCCGAAACGTGGCCACGAGTGCAAAGATCTTGCTTCTCCTCCTCCTCCTGCTCATTCAAGTCTTCCTTCCGGCCTACGAATTGCAAATTAAGTCGACCGGACGTGTTCTTTTCGTTTATTTTCTTCTCTGTCTGTCCACTTCTCGCATTTTCATGTACTACGATTCTACGAATCGATCGATCAGCTGCACGAGAAAGGATCAGCAGTACCCCAGTCCTCAGTAGTGTATCATGGGGCTTGCCGGCCAATGGGTGGTGGAAAGGTGTGCGCCTTGGTGTTCCACGGGGAGACGGGGACGGGCCGAGGAGGAACAGGTAGGACCAATGGCCGTGCGCGCCCAGAGGGCCTAGCTCCGTCGGGGGCTGCACGCGTCGCCGTCGCGGCGCCAGGTGTGCGGGGGCTTCCGCCGGAAGGGGCGTCGAGGTGGCGCGCCGCGTTTGTCCCGTTCCCGGGCTCCAACGACCGGGCCGATGCACAGAGCACACTATAGCTAGCGCGTCGCGCCGCGCGCGTTGGCCGGTCTTGTCGCCTGTTGTCCTGGTGCGCTCCACTAGTTTACTCCATCGATCGTTTACCAGGAAGAGACATCATGGTAACTCAGGATAGATAGATACGGTGAAGTGAACGTGATAGGCGAGCACTTGGGGGTGTCAGTGCGGGGAGCAGAGGTTATCCTCGATCGATCGTTTTCCACCCGGAGGCCGGCGATTCGCTGCCCCCGACCTCCCACGATCCAAACGTGCTAGAGCAGATCAGGTAAGTTAAAAGCGGTGACCCGGTGCGACTGAACTGCCTTTATTTGTTGAATGCTAGTGCGCTGGTGGAGTTCTTCCGACTTCGGTAACGGCGGGGGTCAGGTCATTTCGAGCCGCAGTAGCACGATACTCCCTCCGTTTCTTTTTACTCCGCATATAAGATTTGGTCAAAGTCAAACTACACAAAGTTTGACCAAATCTATATAAAAATATATGAACATCTACAATATTAAAACTGTATAGTATGAAAATACGTTTCATGATGCATCTCATAATATTGATTACATATTGTGAATGTTTATATTTTTTAACATAAAGTTAGTTAAACTCAACAAAGATTGACTTTGACCAAACCTTATATGCGGACTAAAAAGAAATGGAGGGAGTACAAACAAAACCAGGCTAGTATCGATCATTCCAACAGTGCTAGTTTTTTTTTCTGAGAAAAAAGGTAAAAACGCAAACGCTCGCGGAAACGGAAAATGGTACGATCAAGTTTTCGCGGGTAGGGAGGAGATCGAGCCGGCGCGCCGCGCGCGTGTGCGCCCATCTGTGGCGCCCAAGCGGTGCCAAGCTGCTGTGCTATGCACGGGCAGGGTCAGCTGAGTAGCTGTCCGTGGTGACCACCGTGATTAATCGCGGCGATAACTTTACTCGAGTGCGGTAGCAGGCTAGGAGGGAGAGGTGTGCAAGGTACGTAGAAGGCACAGTTATTACACGGACAGGTTAGGCGACCGGATAGCCCGGCCGGGACCAGGAGGGAGAGGAGGAGGAGAAGGAGAATGGGGCGCGCGCGCGGCGGCGGGGCCACCGCGGACGTCGACGGCCGGCCGGACAGAGGCAGCCACACGTACGCGCGCGAGTGGGCGCCGGGCGGGGGCGGCACACGCGGCGCCGCGCGAGTGGCGAGGGGCCAGAGGCGGGTCGGCGTCGCGCCAGTTTCTTGTGGAGAGATGGAAAGCTTGGCCGCGTGGCCACGGCTTGTTTTCTGCGTCACGCACGCCTTCACTTCCTCCCGAGCTCGTGGATGCCATCTGGTCTACTACAATTTGAATTCCGCATGGTCCTAAGGATCGAGACGGGGGCGGGAAGGAATTCGATCCGTCCGTGTTTCATTTTCGTTCGTATGCATGCATGGTACTGTGCACCCGCTCAAGCTAATGCCTACCTACTCTTTTTTTTTTATATGCATGGTACTGTGCACCTGTATCTACCTACCTCTTTAAGATCAGTCACGTGAAGGAATGAACGATCCTATCCGTAGGCAATTTGAGTCTGAAATCTACATGTTCGTACGGTATTTGTTTCTACTCTCTTCGTTCGGAATTACGAATATATTAGATGTATTTTAGTTGTAAATACATCATTTTTATCAATTTTTATGACAAGTAATTCCGAACGGACGGAGTACTTGTCATGAGCCAGCAAATGAGGGCATGTACAATAATGCTATCTTAGGAGTGTCACATAGCGTAAATGCCGAGACGAAGAACAAAGTAATTATAAGAAAATGCTTGTCTTCTTTTATTTAAGATTTAAAAGATGATATCTTAGCACAATACGCCTCATCATGGTTTTAAAAATTGCTAGTTATTAAAGACAAGGCTAAGAGATAAACCATTGCAGACATCATTTTATTATCATCTTTAAATTACATGCAAGACTTAAGATAACAATGTCTTAACAACCGTTGTACATGCCCTGATGATATCTGTCACGAGTTTTCATCTGATTCTGTTTCTTCCTGTTCGTGTTTTCCGGGGGGCTAACACGAGATCCTGATAATGCACGTGGCAAAACAAAATATAATATACTACTTAATTTGCGCAACCATATCGCTATACTGGTACATCTTTTTCTTAGTTTATATTTACTTCAAAAGCAAGATAGTCCAACCAAATGGAGAAGGAAAGCACCTTTGCTAAGTAGTAGTAATCGGGCTAAGTTATTCTGCAAAGCGATACCGCTTTGCGTTGCGCTAAATCGCACTAATCAGCGCAATTTTGTAGGTTTTGTCGTAGTTGATTAGTAGGCCCTACCAGATTGCTTGTGGTATCCCCTCTTATTCAATCTTTTAAGTTTGACCTCCGACTACGGTGCACCTTCTCCAATCAGGGAGCCGTTGCGTATTAGAGAACCATATCCGCACACGAGTTTGCTGTCAGGCCTCTGAAAAGCCCTCACAATTTCACACGTTAGTTGGATGTTTTTTCTTAGGCTTTTGGTTTCCCATCCATTGGTACTACTACAGCTGTTCCCAGGTGAGTTCATGTCCAAGACTAATCAGAGTGACAAACATACAAGCAACATGTTTTAAACTTTTGGTTAGTAGTAAAGGATGGTATAAAATGACTATAATCTGAACCTGGTTTAGCTCGGAGACTCAGAATCTCTACTTTGTTGCAAGTGATGTAATCATGTAAAGGTGTTCTGCGAACATAGGAACTGGATTTATCCTAGTCAGGCGCTTGTACAATGCAAAGTACTTTGGGATGCAAAGTACTTAGGGGAGGTGCTCAAAGAGATACTAATTGCATCAATGATGCTTGTTTGTACAGGATAGACCTTTAATTAGGCAATCCTTATGTAGAGATAAGCACCTAAAGAGAACTCGGTTTATTTTACTAAGCACCTTGCATTCTACTCCACAAGGCTTCATGAGAGCAATTCACAGGCTGTGGTCAACAAAGTCCTCTAGGTTGAAGCAGAAAATGCAGCATTAGCAGATGCTAGCAAAAGCAAGATCAAAGAAAAAAGGATGGAGGCATCCCTCTATAATCACTCAAATATACAGAAACGTCACAACATTGTCTGATCGACCAGTCACTCCCACCCTCATTGGCAAGTACACGATAATATAGACAACTCAAAATCAACTGTTACAAGTGACAACAGATCATACAGCGCCTCAAAAACTCGTGAAGCTCGGCAGACTTGTGGTGCTTAAATAGACTGTTTACATTGCCGGCCAATAAGCCTGCACTGCTCCGGTAGCATGGAACATACTACCTGCCCCTTGACGCGGCAGAGCTCACCATCTATCCCACAGCCATTGTGGGTGTTTGCACCAGGTTTAACCTTAACAGATTTCACCTGTCAATGTCGGACCAAACAGTTAAGACCGAGTCAGTGTTGTTACCAGAAGCAAACAATTACTGTGCAAAAGGAAGTAATATTTCTGACAAAATGAACCCCACCCCACCCACGACAACAAATGGAAGCTCTTCAAAAAGCACAAATAGAACATGGCAGAAAAATAATTTGAGCAAGGACAGAAGTTGCATGATACCTTCACATATTCCACATACGGTAAAGAAAGATGGCGACCAAATTGCAGTAGTATGAAAAATCTCAACAGCTTCCATCTCCCCCTTCCGCCAACTAAAAGTAAGTCCAGACTGTTGTCATCATGGCTCGCATTTGGCGCGACAATCTGGGAACTTTGAACTGTTTTGCACGAGTGGTTACATACTAGGACACCAAGAAAGTGCCCCTTCCTGACAACCCATTTCTCATCCAAATTTGGCACAAGTTCCATAGATGTTCCGATTTCTATATCTTCTGGTGGTTCAGGAAGTTCGATAGGATGGTCAGGCTCCCAAGTTGGCTCTGTGTCCCATCTTGGCCCAGTGTCCCACTTTGGTTCATTATCCCAAATAGGTCCTGGATCTGATATTGTCGAGGAAATGTCCTCCTTATCATGCATTGAAGGGGCTGCCCAAGATAACCGTGTATCATTAGAAGCTGTGACACCAACTGAATTTCTATCGGTCCTTGTTTTGGACCTCGTTCTTGGCCAGTATGATGCATGATGCTGTTGAGGGCGTAGGACTTCTTCTGGTTCCGAAACAATGTTGCTTCTGCCCATAGATTGCCGTTTTGCTTTTGGATCAA